ATGTAGCCCCGGATGGATTCTCCTTCTCTCTGGACTACTCCGAAGATGCTTTCCTCAGTTCTAGGGCACCGCTTGCTGGTAACAAAGTGTGCGGTGAAGACCTGCACGAACTGGGTCCAGCTTCTTATTGACCCTGGGGCTAGGTTCCTATACCATGTGCGGGCCACCCCCCCTGAAGGTGGTGGTGAAGGCCACGCACATGCATGATTCACTGGCCCTAGCGAGGTGCATTTGGTACTGGAAAGCATCGACGTGGTCGTTGGGGTCAAAGGACCCGTCATACTTGTCCAATGGTGAGAGCTTGAAGTCTCTGGGCATGGGGACTACCAAGAGTTCTGATGCGAGGGGGGAAGGAACTGAGAGAATCGGGGCAGCTTTTACTTCGTCCAAGCTCGTCTCTTCCTTACCTCTGAGTTCGGGCAAGACACTGGTGGTAGTTCAGCGACTTCGCCGGTGCCTTCGTTGTTGAGTGGGCCTGGTACTGGCACTGCTGGCCTCTGTGTTGCCGAGCTCGATGGGCCCGGAACGTTGGTAGTCTGCTGCCAGGGCGCTGAATCAGTTCTCCGTGAGCAGGAACTCGAGCCTGGAGCGCCGAGGTGCTGACCTTGCGGGTGAGGTTCCTTACCCGCCTGCGAGCTGCGAGACGGGGGTGATTTCTCTTTCCCTTCGACCTAGGGATGAGGCCTGGCTGTTAGGGGGGTTCTGGGGTCGAGAGGCTTTTCCCTGGTGGGGGCGTCCACCCTGAGGAGAGGCCTTAACCGACTTCGGAGCAGGGTGCCGAGGTGGAAGTAGCGGTTGGTTCAGAGGTAGTTGGGGGAACTGCTGCTGATAGTGATACTGGGAGATGTTGTGCAATACTTGGTGCTACTGGAGCTGATGTTGCTGGAATTGTTGCATTTGGGCTTGCATTGCCCGCATGCATTGCATCAGGTCATCCAACTGGTTATGGCTAGTTGTCAAGGGGACAACAGTTGGTTCAGTAAAGGTTGTTTCGATAGGGAGAGGAAAGGGGATGCTCATGGCAGGGAGGTTTACGGGCGCCACTGCTTGTGGCGCATTCAAACTGGGGATCCCATCCACCGAAAGGGGGATGGTGAACTGTCCAACGCACACCACGGGGACTTGAAGTTGTTCCCCGGTGGTGTTTGTCTCTGTGCCACGTCCAGCGTTGCTGGAAGAAACCATGAGTGTTGGGGTTTTTGGAGAAAAGAGGTTGTGAGAGTTTAGAGGGAGGCTTTTAGAAGCGATTCCCACAGATGGCGCCAATTGATGGTGCGCAATCCGACTGGTCCTAGCTGTCAACGACCTTGCCTCTGAACGGAGCTACAGGGAGCCTGAAACGGAGAAGATGAGGAAGCTCCGGGGGGAACCCGGTATAAATGCTCTGAAGCTCAAGTTAGAATTCTCTCAAAGGCAAGATAAAACAAGATGGCGCAAAGTTCACATACCTCGTTCTTGGGGGGTAGGGAGCCTTTTATAACCACCTCGCGCACTCACTTCTAAGCTTCTGTTAGGTCGGGTATGATTACCTCTGGGACCCTGTCAGTTCGGGTGTCATCCCCTCTGCTGGATAGAACCGCCACTGCTCTCTTTGTCGGAGCCGTCTCTACGACTGGCGATGACGACGGCAGGTGGCCGTTGAAGTGTGGCTGTCAAGCGTCAGATCCCAAGTTAGTCAGGTGCGCTGCCCTTGGATACGGACCTCCTCAGTGTCAGGTATAGTACGTTTGTTTAGCTCGGTGTCCTGGAGGCGAAGTGTCGGAGTGGTGAGCGATGTGAAGTCTTGAGTTCGGATAGGAGAGTGTCCCGAACTGCCATGAGGCGGGCCAGTTCGGGTCATTGCCTTGTGTGAGGCTCGAGGCCTAAGGGAGAGTTCGGGGTCCTTGTAGGGAGTTCGGGCTCTTAGTAGGAAGTTCGGGCTCCTAGTAGGGAATTCGGACTGTTGGCTCCTCCCTTCGGTGCTCGCGCCTTGGGTGTGCTGTTGTGCCGAGCTGTTCGCCTTTACCACGTGTTGAGTGATTATGAGGTCGGGCCAAATCTTCTTTCATCAATTGCTATTCGTGTATCATAAGGTTGAAGATGATGAACAATCTTTTTCTTTCAATTAATAGTTTTTACAAGAATAGAATGGAGATTAAAAAACACCGCAGATTTCAATGGAAAGCTAACTGAAAGACGTCTATAGAAGGGTCTTTGTCGCAAAAGAAAGTATAAGGGGATTTTTGTCACAGACCCCATAATAAGGGGGGTCTTTGTAATTTACTCTTAAAAAAATGAAAAAAAAAAACAATTGGTTGTAGTTTCGGGGCTAATCTACCAACCCGGATTAGACCCGACCCATTGGCAACCGCAGCACTATTCCCCCAGAAAACGGAATCTCAAGTGACACGTCGACAAAAGCGTAAATTTGGTTTTCTACACTTGAGAGTGTAGCTGTACAGTCTTCATCAAACCCTTGTTCTTGTTCATAATAATATCTTCGACTGCTGCGATTTTTGGTTCAAAACGCTCATCAACATTAGCAAAGGTAATTTCTTTCTTTGTTTTTCTTCATGGAAGCTGGCCAATCAACAATTGCTTATTATTTTAATTGCATTACGCTTGTGTGTGTTGATGAGGAATGGAGATTTGAAGTAATGAAAATGATGGAAAATAGAAGCTGAACTCGTCTTTCATCTATCGATTTTTGTTGACATCTTGTTCGATTTCTTCTTCTCTTTTTGGATGATTTTCATTTACCATAAAAGGTTTCTGCTTGATCTTATTCATTCTTACGCATTTTTCTTCATTTATTTGAAGGTTTTACGGATTTCTGTGCCTACCCAAAAACTTTCCCTCCAAGACTCATCTATCAAATCAGTGGTTTTGTATCTGAACATATATTTGTCACTGGTTCACAACAATAATTTCAGTCCATATCCCCAAAATTAATATAGTCCATTGGTCTTCTATGTTTGACACCCCTTTGAATGCCAACCCGAAGTATGGATTATCCTAAGAGTTTTCATAACCTTATTATGCTAACAAACAGCGTGGAGGGGAATCGTATAGGCATAAGAATGGTATTTCAGCATTTATAGCTCCTCATTTGATTTTATTTGTTTTCTCATCCCCAGATTTTTAAATTTAATTGTACACCTGATGAATATGTTTCATATATTTAGGTTTTGGTTTGACCATTAAGTACAATGATCTCTTTCAAGCACTTTGACTCTGTTTTTAGGCCTAGTTCTTTGTAAGGAAGTTGAAGAAACATGATTACCTACTAAAAAAGCATATAAATGTCTCCATTGCACCTGGTTCTCCGCTGTGTCTATTAGGATAGAAGTAAAATAAAATAGTTTGAGAATGATAAGTTACTTCCCCAAAACTCTGATGTTGGTTATATCAATCAAAAGAGCCTTACGTTGATTAGACAATGAGACGATGAAGAGTTCAAATATCAGAAGTTGCAAAAATGACTGATTAACCAATGCATGAGTTATATTTGTATAAATGCTCTAGTAGGAGGGATGTTGGGGTATTATCCTCCAATGGCTTCTACGGTAAGAGGAGAAGAACGCATGTGTTAACATTTGATAATGACCATTCTGAAGAAAAGGAGCATACTACTCATTAGTATAGATTCTTTTGTTTAAGGAAGAAAGAAAAATTAGATTTGCATCTGAAGCATGATAATTATCTCCTCCATTAGTGATTCTGAGCAAGTCAATACTGTGAAATTACTCTCTTAAGAAGACCACAAGAGAGGAAAATTGAATTTAATGTGACAACAAAGTATCTTCCCCCTCCCTTGGTTTGCTTGCATAGGAAGGGCCATGCATACGAAACACTGGCGGGTTCACTCGTTGTTTGTTCAAACACGAGCAGCTTTTCCTTTAAATTGTATTGCCAACACTTACTTGTTCAAATTCTCACTTTGACACGATGCATATGTTCCTGTCTTTGGCAGATTAGAGTTGGTAGATTGCAATGGAAGCCAAATTCTTTCGCTTTCTTAAAATTGTGGGAGTTGGGTTCAAAGCTAGAGCCGAATCAGAAGGCCGGCTCTTGTATCTGAAGTTGGGTTACAGCCACAAGGTTGAACTCACCGTACCACCAGCTGTTCGTGTCTTCTGCTTTAAACCCAACATAGTATGCTGCACTGGAATAGACAAACAAAGAGTTCACCAGTTTGCTGCTGCCGTTCGCAGCTGTAAATCTCCTGAAGTTTACAAGGGAAAGGGAATAATGTACATTGATGAAGTTATAAAGAAGCAGCAAGGGAAGAAGTCCAAATAACCACAGGGAGAAGGGGAGCGTGATGGTTCTAATGGAGGTCATGCTGCGATCAGGTGGCCTGGTTTCTGTACCTGGGAATGTTTCCCATTTGTATGCTTAAAGGTTAGAAATAATTTGTAAAAATTTGGGAGAGTTTTGATTTTAGAATTTCCTGCTGCAGCAGTAGCACCAGCCTTTGATTTATGTTGGCATAGAGCCCTCGGGCAAAGCCAATTCTGTAATGCCTTTGAACATCCAACGCTGTAAACGTACCCAAGTCAGGATTGGAAGTCTGTAAATTGGCTTGCAGCTTACTTAATCCTAAAGCTGCGATTGGTTTGGAGGAAAAAGTAGGGAAAGGTAAGGAAACCTATACAAGCTTTATAAAGGTTTTCTTACCTTCCCCTTCCTTTCCCTACTTTTTCCTTATTAAATCATGTTGAAGTAGGTAGTGTTATATCTGGTCCGTTCAACAAAAGCTCCTGTACGAGACACTGAACAAAACAGATGATCAACAGTGAGCCAGTGACAATCTGGCTTGCGCTTTGGAAGTTGGCGTGGATCTAGAACCCCAGAAATTGATGCTTGGTTATACAAGCTACAAGGTACCGTTGCTGCTAGTGGGGTTGCCGGTTGCGTTCAACGTAGTTGTTGGATGGTCCTCTATTGAAATGGACCAAATTATTGAAACTCGTTCCCAATTAAAAGAGGCCATGGCGAATAGGATAGAGCGCATACATTTTTTCGGTAAAATATAAAATCCATACTAGAATAGTCATACTCCACCTTGTATCAACTCACATCTACTTTTTCATGAATATGTCCACCTCCACAGTCCAACAACAACAATAACGATGATGATAATGACTTTACATAGCACAATTATCTCAGAGGCCGTATATTTTCTTGTTTCCCCAAAAGAAAGAAACATTTTGGTCCATACTGATACAACTCCCAACTCTTAAAAACTTGGGGCCTTTACTAGGAGAATTGAGACTACAAAATTGCAAGTTTAGATATTACATAGAAACTGAAGTTTTCGCAGCTCTGGAACTTAGCTCGTGAGTTTTGGGGCCTTGAGAAAATAAATACTCCTCACGAATCCTTTGCCCACCTCACCGACATCTTTTAACACATCAATTGGATCTCTTCTTTCCTCCCCTGCTGCTTCTCGTTCCCTTTTCTGCAAAAGCAAACAGTTATCGAAATAACTTGTTAGAATTGTAAGTTGCCAAGCACACGAGAGACAAACACTGCAAATTCTTAAAAGATGTGTATTTTGGTACCCTTGAGAAAGGCTTCTCCCATGTTAGGCCAATGGCATCACCTCCAATAGAGTCATACCAAACCTTAAAAGTGCCAGAGAACTCTTTCTACACATCAAATGGGCAACTGTAAGTATAGAATCTTGACACTCCAGCCCAGTGGGCTCTAGTAATGTGAGGTCATTCAATCGTGGTTACAGATAAAACCAATCCGAAATATTTACCTTTAAATCATCCACAAAGCACCTCATTGGGTCAAAATTTAGCATGAGCTTGTTCTTCAGTTCCTCTAAGTTTCCATGTCTGTCTCCTGGCAATACGTAGGGATGGAAATCTTTACTAGCATTCCCTTTAGCAACATGTTTCCCTACATGACAAGTACACAATGTGGTCAAATAAAAAACAAGTATTGGTGTGTGTGTGTGAGTGAGAGAGAGAGAGAACCTAGTTTTACTTCGGATGGGAAAAGAAGGCGTTGAGGGTAAGGCAGTCTATCCTTGTGAAGGAGGACTATGGCATCATAGTTGTTTAGAGGAGTTCTGAACAGAGACTGCAGAAAAAATATGAATTGACAAAAGAAAGCACTGTGAAAATAATTGAAATCGAAGGACATGAAACAAAATTAAAGTATAAAGCATGGTGGTTCCAGATGTCCAAATCACCTCCCATCTATGAGAATCCATCTGATCCTTTAGGATGATGTTTGTAAGAAAGTCAGCACTGCGTTGAGCATAGGCCACCATCCTTCTAAGTTCCTTAGATATCAACATGTTCCAAATGTTAGTTGGCAATATTGACAAACTCACCCAAACAGACATATGGGTAATATCAACAGCCAGAAACTTGTGAATCAGCAACAAGTTAGACTCACTTTACAGGCTTTGATAATGTAGCAAATATACTAAGCATTAGCCTTGGGATGATATTACTAGCTAATAAATTCACAAATAGGGATTTAAGCTCCCTTATGTTATTGTTACCGGATACTCCCTGGTTAATAATAACTAGAGAGGGGCACATGTGAACTGCATGCAAGAAAGGTGGATAGACCCTTAGACAGCAAATTACATTGAGAGATAATGGGTGGCCCTAGCATATAACCAACTCAACGACTTAATTACAAATTTACAATTACAACATTGCCCTCATTATTTATGTTTTGACCTTTTATAAGGCATAATATATAGGAAAAAATTAGCAAATATATGTTGAGCCTTGCCAAGATTCTAAGGTTACTTAATATAGTAGTATAAATAATAACAACAACAACAACTATTATTATCATCATCATCATCATTTTTGTAAATGTACCACCCTTCATCAAACAAAAGAAATTGCTTTGTGGGGATTTCTTTTTCAGAACTTTCAGGGTTCCCACTTGTATTCCCGAAACTACCAATCATCCACCCAAAAGGTAGCTCATTAATTCCAGGCCTTGATAGCTTTCGGTGCAAATTGCCCTCATATCAGTAGATCCAGAGCCATCCTAATATCTAGGTTCAATGCCAAATAGCATGGTCTAAACATTTTATAACAAAGTATAAATAGACTATTTCTCTTGAAGGAATGTAAAAGAAAGTGTAGGTCTGTATATTGAGGTTTTCCTCAGCATAATGTGCATGCCATCTGGAAAGTACATCATGAGTCGTGCATGCAAACAAAGTAAATGGTCCCTCTAAATCTGGCAAGCAAACAAATAAGTTACAAAGATGGTTTGATAGCCTGAAAGTTGGGCAGTATCGCACAGATCAGTATTGTAGAATAAGCACCAAGCATGATCCATTGACAGGGGAAAGCCATACTGCACACAAAATGTCCCTATTTCCCTTATCCATCTCAATATAAAGAGTTCAAAAGATGATTCTGCTTAGCGAGTCCCAGACAGACCAAATTTGGATGCAATCAAGATGAGCATGCCAAGGGGTAATCAAAAGGTCAGATGAGGCTCTTTTGTTAGCACGGCATATCAGCTAGGCATCAAGGCCCACAAATACCCTTAAGGAAAGAGGATCAGACTTCAACTGTTCCAAAAGGCACTTCCTCAAGCCCCTTTCCTTCCCTCTAGTACCTAGGCCCCCTTCATCTCAACAATGATGCCTAAACAGCCTACAGTCTAGTTTAGGTGACCATGAGCCATTGAGCATCCTGCCATGAACCCTACTGCTTGTGGGAATGAAACAAGATGACCATTCAACAGCTAGATCAACATGGCAGTTTAAGAATAGTTTATTGCTTTCAACATGCTTCTGAATCACATGGGCCATCCCATGGGTGATTTAAAGCATGTATCTTATTAATCACTTGTCTTCATTTGAGGTAGCATAGTAAGAAGTAAGAACTTGAAGGTAGTTTTACGTAAAAGCACATAGTGGTATAAGTAACAAATAAATGACAAGGAAGATTCACTAGATAGCTAACTGGGAGAAAACTCATCATAAAAAAATTTATGGAACAACATCAGGCACGGTACACTACTTACAGAAGTGTTTGGTGAATGTCTGGTCCAGGCTTCAGATGCCTTGTCATATGCTGTAGCTAAAAACATTGCTGGCTCTACAGTTTTAGCATTTTCTTCGTAAGATTTTCTGCTTAACATAAAGTTCTCCTATTCCAGTAAACGTGCAATTAGTGGACTTCAATCCAAAAATAATATAATTAACAGACATCAAGTAGAAAAATATCAATAGTCAAAATAAGTGTCATTTGATCAGACAGAAATTTGTTGTGCATACACTGATCTCTTTGTCATCCTTCAAGGACAAATCATTGTTTATATCGATGACCAAAGGAGAAAATGTCCAGTCATAGTCAGACAGCAACCGCAAGAACCTGCCATCAATTTGATATATCAGATATGAAGCATATTAATAGCATATAATCCAGAATATGAAAATTATAAGAATGACATAGATGCTAAAGGATCAGAGCCAATAATTTCGGTTTTCTCCTTTTTCAGCTTTGGGGGAAGAGGGTTAAAACAAAAACAAGGAAATATTGTATGATGTGGAATTCTAACAAGCATAAAAATTGTTGAGCCACAACCTAAGGGGGTGTTCCATGCTCAGCAATGTGTATGCTTTTGTTTCTAAAAATGAAAACTGACACATCAGGCTACTTGGAAGGTTAAAAGATTGATCTTCCTATGGTCCTCTATCCTTACAAAGACATTTTGTGGCTACTGGTTCACAATCATTTTGTCATCCTCTTTTCATGTGCAAATTACACATCCTTGTTTTTGTGCCTCTCCCTTTCTTATTATAATATTTCCTTGGTCCCTGCCCCCCTCCCCAAAGAAAAAGGAAAAACTCGCCAGTCGCCAGTACATATACAGGAAAAAAGAAAACAAGAAAGAACAAGCAAATGAACCTTAAACCAGTGTTTTAAAAGGTGCACCAAGGCACATAGTCAAGGAACATTCCAAGGCATGTGCCTTGCAATGTACCAAGGCAAAACCCATTTTAAAAGGTGTCTGCCTGATGAGCCTTGCGCCTAAGCCCAGGGAAATATGCCTTTTCAATTGTTTTTTTTTTTTTGCTATTTTTTTGTGGATTCACACCTATATAATGGTTTATCAACTTTTAAATACCATAAGCGTTGTTCTTTCAAATAGGATCTCAAATAGCAAAATAATTATTAAAGAAGCAATAATAAACAACTAATATATGATTCCTAATCCTAAAATAGAATGAATTATGACTAAAATTACAAATCCAATCTCGTTATATATACAGGCCAAAAATTTAGGTCAGGAATGCTACCCCAAACACCTACATAGACGTGTTTGGGACTCTGCCTCAAAGGCCCTTTACAAAAGCAGAGGATCAATCTCCTAGAATTAGGAAGGCAAAGATGTTCAACATCAAACTAGCTACTTGAAGTAATGCAAGTAGGAAGTAGATAAACAGATTGAAAGTTTCACATGATTGAATTGTTTTTTTCTTATCAGCAAAAGAGTTCGCATAATTGAATTGTTGTGTCTGAAGCACTTTGGTACAGAACATATATGTTTGTCCACTTTGAATATGTTTTATATGTACGTTAGTTTGAGCCAACAGGCTTTTTAACACATTTAATTTCTTTTAAAATTTAAGTTTGCATTTTTATATATTGCTGTTTATCTTTTTTTTTTTATTTTTTTTTAAATTGCCACTTCACTTCAAAAAGGCATGTGCCTCATTGTGTACCTTGCACCTTGGTAACTAAAAGGCCCTTTTACTCTATTTTTAATAATCAACAGAATGCATTGCATTCTTTATAGAAGAAACCCTCTAGCACAAATGGACAACAGGTACAGAACAACAGCAAAAAAGCTGACCAGTATCACTGGCATATTTACATTAATCAACGGTTACAATTGATCCCAGGGACTGGACATCTCCAATCTAAAGATTCCCTTGCAGTTCTTGACCTAGCTAGCCTTATCAGCCATCCCATTTACACTCCTTGGGTCCATCTCAACAAGCAGTTCAGACTTCTTCTCAAGGATGTGGCTTCCCTAATTAAGGTTCCATGATCCTCAATCTAAAGGTCTCTTTGCTTTTCTTGCATTTTGTGTTTTAAAACACTGCCTTGAACCTTAGTTTGAGCCAATTGCTGAAGTTCAACCCTTAAAACCCTAGTCTAAAATTTATCCTCAAGAACCCTAATTTATGACAACAAAAAACCATTTTCATTACTTTATGGTTCCCAAGTTCTGTATCATTTGTTCCAAACCATCATTAGACCACAATCTTCCAATTTTATTCAATTTCCTAACCTCTTCTTCATTTTTGTCATACCATGACAAGCTATCCTCCCTGCCCATCCAAATACATAGGAAATGCAAACAGATGGAGTCCATCCTTGGCGCTTCTAACCTAGTAGATATAGTTTCCCAAAAGCAGGCCCTCATAACTAAAAGATCTGCTTGACTTGCAATCTTTTCAACAATAAAAATAAGGTGAAAACCCTAAAGATCAATCTGAAAACCAAGGGGATTCATATAATGAGTAGCAACCCCTTCATTTTGAGAATGGCCTTCCAGTCTCTTCTTCTAGTGCAAGTAGCAAAAAATTGAGCAGAACTGAAAAAATGGATTGTGCAAGACCATTAGAGTTCTGGTGACGCAAAAAAATCCAGTTGAAACAACAGACATTTTCAAGTTCTGTACATGAAAGCTATGACTCCACTAACTTCTGCTAAAAGTGAGTAGAATCTAGAGTTCTGGTGACACAGAAAAGATTTTGATCATCTGAGGGCGTGTTTGCCAATATGTATGACTGTTTTCAAAACAAAAACAATTACCACATCAGTACAAACAATTCTTCTTCTTTTTTCAAAAAACAAAGTGACCTATATTGGCAAACACCCTCTTTTTTTTATCAATATATTGGCAAACACCCTCTAAATAACAAATTAAGACTTGAATATGCAGACAGAAGTTCGATGATCAATTCTGCTACTTTGGCAAGGACACGCCATAAGAAGAAAAAGGAACTTGATTAGCAACAAAATTTAAGAGAACAGTGACTACAGGGCCATACAAATCCCATTTCAAAAGGCTCCCTAGGTACTAGAACCTCATAAATTTGCATGTTATGCTTATAACCCCAAGATTTTAATCAGGTCCACCTCCTTATTCACCACCTATTCCAAGTCTTCCCTTCTCTGAACAATGTAAGTTTTGTCAATTTCCACCTCCCTCTCCAGAAGCAAACAATCTGAACCCAAATCATCCCTTTCTTTAACACCTTCAAAAGGTTTTGAAAGTGTCCTTTACCCCAAGAACCTGACCCGTGTTATCCCCAATTGCCTCCCTAGCTTCAGAGACTACTTCCCCTACTTCTTGTTCAGAAGTAAGACCAAGGCTGTTGACTTGATGGTCAGGAACATTTTCAGACTCCTTCAAACAAAAGTCTTGAAACTGGATAGAACAAAGATCATCGAGCACCCCCTATTTACCTTTAAATATATCATTCTTTCTCTTCTACACTCTTTTAAATTTATTGCCATTATTGGATGGGCCAGCACCACAAACGCCACCCAACAGCCAGGAAAAGACCTTCGACACATACCCAATCTCTTCACAAAATCTTTTCTGAACTCTTCATCTTTTTGGGTTTACCGAAATCTTAATATTACTTTTATCTCTTGTTGAACACAAATCCTTTCTATTCTCTTCCCTTCTCATACCCAAATCTTTGCCCAATCTCCCTGCAACAACTTCTACAAATCTACCCGAACCAACCTCCCCCAAGTCTCTGGCAACAAAATTTAGTTGTAATCTAAACACCATGTCAGTCCCATCACCCACTCTTGCTTCGGCCTCCAAAAAATCAGTTGAACGAGAGCCAGAAAAACCACACCTCACCAGAAAACTTAACTCTCCTCCATTTCAACCCTCTGCCAAACCATCATCTTTTTGACACAAACCACCTTCTCCTTCAGTGCCTGAATTAACATATCCTGCTGCTGGACTGCCAGACTTCACCTGCTTCATAGCCACTACCAACCCCTACTCAATAGTCTCCTTCCTTGACTTAACAAGAAGATCAATACATACCTCTCCCACAAACAAACCGGTTCTCTTGTTCCCACATGCTAAATCAGCCTCCACAAAGATTAAGGTAGTCATCAACTTATCCTCAGTCCTCTTCTCCTTCCAAGAAACATCTTCCTCGTAAGAAGAATTACCTTTGATGGCGCTAGACAACCCTTGCCCCTCTAAAATTGTCTGAGAACCCCTTGAATCAACTTCCCAGGCCCTGCAGATCCAGCAACCATCAGGTCCACCACATGGACGCCTGAATTCCAGGAAGCAACACCAGTTTTCATAAGATCCTTACCAGCATCCATGCACAAACTTTGCCCAGGAAAATCCTTCTTAGCTGAGGCTACAAAACCACAAATCTTATCCTTACCCAGTCTACCATCGAGCAACAGAGCCCCAGCAAAACTAAGGGCTAAGGGGTTCTTAGGGAGACTCACAATGACCCAATAAGTCTGGCCCACTTACCAACCCAGCGCAAGCCTGGTTAGGCCCAACAGCATTAGAGTTTCTTGACCCAAATCTTTCACTATTACTAATGAAATATTGAGTTTACTTTTGACTATCTGCATTAGGTATGCAAGAATTAGTTTATATTACATTATTTAAAAGTAACAGATCAAGAGAACTTCATTGGTCGAAAGTTGGAAATAAAGATTTGTGACAGTACAAAGATAGCAAAGCCTATCCCTCAGTTCATATTACACATTTAGAAGTACATTTTTATGCTAAATTCATCACCTATTGTATAGGACTAGGACAAACAACAACTATAAACAAATCAAGAAGCAGAATCAGATTTTATATTCATCACATCTAGGTAAAACCAAACCAGGATTACATATCCCTTGAGAAAATCAAGAAGCCGACCTTAAAAATCCAGTTATCCGTGAACAAGGAGCTTGAAATGGCAAAGGCTTCAAAAAAAGATATGCAACCAATAATTCGATTGCCTCCGCTGCCAGGTATGCTGAAAACAGATGTGAAGTAACCCATCGTTTTGCAAGTCTTCATAGAAACAGAAAAAAAAAAAAGTTAGTAACAGTTTTCAAACTTAAAAAACATTTTAGGACAAGCTGTACCCTTACCGCACAACCGGACCATATGTAGGGTAACAACCCTGTAAACCATTAATCATGCTCGAGTGCTGACTGCGGATAAGAAGTTCCTTGTCTATAGAAGAAACTCGCTTTACTTGATCATTTCCAACTACAGTTACAAACAGAAGAACAAATAGAACAATATGAGCATAATGACCGAGTGTCATGTATTCACTGTGAGCATATACTGACATAAGATGAAGGATCTAACTACCAAAAATAAGAAATTCTTCCTTTGTATAAGGCCCTACAGGTACTCACCTTGCTTTTTCAACAAGCTCAGACCTCTCTCATGCAAGATTCTAAGACGAAATGCATATCCAGACATAAGTACATCCACCTCATCCTCAGAAGCAACACATTTCATGCCCCATCTGTTCTGGAGACTGTCATGAATCATCCAATTGACCACCCAACAATTTAGATGTCTTTTTCGGATGACAACCTTAAGCAGAAAATCAGTTCATCAGTCTAAATAGAAAAGAGATGCCCTACCTTTCTCCAATTTTTAGAAGGAAAGCAGTTTTAGTCTTCTCAATTGCAACATCATCCATTGGCCAGTTTCCTGAACCCTCCAACTAGACAACAGCAAAAACAGCCTTCAGTCATGGCATTACTGTGGAAATGTGCATTGAGAATATGCTGAATGTCTAATCTCATACCTGAATCATTACTTCTACTGGTTGAATACAAACTGAAGTGAGCTTTTCTAATCTTTGGCTAACAATCTTTTCATTAGCCAAGGGATGAGGTTCAGGAGGGAAGACAGATGTGAACCTGAAAGCTGTGATAAATTAACAAGAAGCAGAATTTTATCAAGGCATCATAAATATAACTTGCTACAAAGAAATTTTCACGCACAACCAGACAGTTTACAACTGATGACTTTGGACAAAACCAACCACTCCAAGTTTAATCAACAATTATGAGAAAGAAAACCTCATTTAATCTAGATTAGAAATGAACACTGAAATCCTCTGAACTTTCATCAAAGAATCATACTTCCAAATTATATTTAACTAAGATACACAGTAGGTCTAGGTGCTAGTACAATAAAACTTAAAGTCAGTTATTAATTAACACCGAGTGTCCCAACCCCCAAAAATTACAATTGAGCCCAAAACATAGACCGTCTTTGTAACCCTTTTTTAGCTAAACTATCCACCAAACTGTTGGCCAATCTTCAAAACCAATTAACTTGAATCAACATATCCCTGGAGAGCCTTTTGAACCTCCTAAGATCATTTCCTTAGGTGCCATGAAACCCCTTCCCCTTTCTTTAACCAGTCCAACTGTTTTGGAATCACCTTCAATAACTAGCCTTTCAAAACCCAATTCCTTGGCTTTCTCAAGCCCAAAAACAGCTGCTAAGAATTTTTTTGATGCCACCTCACTTTACCCAGATGGACCAGAGAAGAAAGCACATACAGTACCTTCCTCATCTCTGATAACTCCCCCAATTTCAGCGAGGAGTGGATTGTCCACACTACTCCCATTGCAATTCAGTTTCAACCAGTCACATGGCAGGGAAGACCAGATCTTAAAGTCTGAAGAAATCATCAATCTTAAAGTCTGAGAACAAATTCAAGGTCTTAACCCAATGTGCCACTCTTAGGGTTATAACCTCAATCAGTGCTTCCTTATTCCTCTCCTTTCCCCCAAACATTCTAGAGTTTCATTCCTCCCTGACTGTCCAAATAACTGCTGCCCTTCAGTCTACCTCTTTTAGTAGAACACATAAAAACAGGGGAGAGCCACATGCAACCAAAAAGTGAAGCAAACCAGTCCCAGATAAAGCCAACAAAAGAACAAAAGATTAGAAGATGAACTGCAGTCTCACCATTAAGTTTGCACAAGCTGCACCAGTTGGGGGACATGCACTAGTTTGGCCTCTTCCTTTGAAGCGTATCACAAGTATTAATGCAACTATGAAACAATTCCCAGCAGAAAGCATTGAATCTAGGAGGAATGGGAGAACACTATATTTCCTTAATAGGGAAAGAAGTGGAAAGGGGAGGCGAGGAAGCTACAAGGGAGTTACAAAAGGATTTAGAAGTGAGTCCCATGTTCCAGTTTAGGTCAAAAGGAGAGGAAGAGAATGGTAAAGAACAGGATGGAATGGCAGAACAGGTTATTTCAAATAAGAGCCTTAGGTTATTCCAAATAAGTTCATTTCTGACAGTCTTTTCTGGTTTTCCCACTCATCCATCTCAACATTTACATTTCTACCACACTTTTTTTTTTACATGTTTCTTGACTAAGTAGGAATTACCCATTATATAAGATTCCAAATGCACCCCCAGCATTTTGCCCATCCTGCTAATATTCCTTTCTAGCTTGAGTCAACTATCCCAACCTAAATTACTAAAACTAGGGCCACACTTAGGTCTAACTTAGAAACTAAGCACCCTCAATTAAATCCTTGTAAAAATCCAGATTTATTAAAACTTTAAAAAGTAGTGACTATAAAAAAATTACTATCGATAGGTATAGCAAAACATACCCATTAAATAAACTAAACAGTCTGAACAATAAAATTAACTAAAGATTTCCAGATCCAACCAAACACCTAATTAAAGAAAACCCCTAAATTTTGAGAGATTGAGTTCCTATCTTGTGTGTGTGTGTTAACAAATCAGTTCTAGTTAAGAAACAAGGTTTAAGTATGAATGTCATTGATGCTTTTATTTTTTATCAATAACTGCTGTGAACTTTATTAAAGAGAGAATTAAGAAGTTAATCAAGGGTACAAGAACAGAAGACAATCAATCTCTCTTATCTCTTCCAACTTTCTTTCTTTCTTTCTTTTAGTTACAATTGTGCCCAATACTTGTATTCTTTATTTTCTAGGAGTATAATAATAAAATAGACATTATTTTGAAAAGTAAGGTATTGTAATACTAATATACACAAAATATGCTACAACTATAGGCCATTTACACCTCTGTGTATAGGACTATACATCTTGTTAGCAAGGAATTAACAAGAGAATAGCAAATCCCTGTCAAAAAATCTTTCCTTTAATTCTGTTCAATACTTCAATTGAACTTGACTAGTTTAGGAGTTCTCGAATACTCAGCAGTTCCTTTCCTCCCAAATACACCAAGAAGCAGCCATCGGTAGCATCCTCCATACAATTTTTCCTTTACCACTAACACCATTGACTACCATCTCTGTAAAAAGGCTCGAATGGATTGAGAAAGCAGCCAACCCATCCAAAAGAATTCAGGAAGAGATGGTTGGCAGCTTCCAACTCTTCAAAACAAAAGACACACCCTTCCCATCCAGAGTCATTCCCCATGTAATAATTTGTCCCAGGTTAAACAATTTTCCTGTGCTGAGGTCCAAGCAAAAAACTTGATCTTGGAGGGAGTCCCACCATGCCATATTCTGTTAGCTGGGAGCTCATCATGCACTTCTTGGCATAAGCTTCTGTAAAATGATTTCAAAGTAAAAATACCATTATTCTCCCAGGACACCTACATGAGTCAATGGTGACCACTAGTGGCAGGTAACTCTGCAAAGCTTGAAATAATTCCAGCAATTGGTCAAACTCCCAATTATTCAGATTCCGCCTAAAGGTTGGGTTCCAGCAGATAAGACCACTGGTCAAAGAATAGCAAACATTCACCAAAGCCTCCCTGTTTTGAGCCACCAGAAATAGTGCTGGAAATTGGTCCTCTAGAGCCTGCTGCCCACACCATGTGTGATGTGTCTACCCAGAATCTAATCCTATTCCCATCACCTAATTTGAATCTAACTCCCCTTGAGAATTCAGGATGAACCTTCTCAATACCTTTCCAAATGGAAGCTCCATAAATATGTACACCTTGACCAGCCTCCCAATCTAGCTCTCTAGCACCAAATTTTGCTTTAATTATTTTTTTCCACTAACAGGCAGGCTGATAGGCTCCTCACAGAATCTCCAGCACCATTTCCCAAGTAAAGAAACATTAAACCTCCTAAGATCCCTGAAATCTAACTCCCTTTCATTGGTTTGCAACACCTGTCCCAATCTACAAGGTGGAGTTTAAACTCTTCACGCAGTCCACAAGAAATCTCTCATTTTTCTCTCCAAACTCTTTGCCACACTTGATGGGATAGGGAAAAAAGAGAGGTAATAGGTAGAGAATGCTGCCAACACACAATAAAATAGAAATTATTAAACCAAGATATTCGTTTTTGCGAGTTTATATACTAGTTCTTTTATTATTTTCTAATTTGCTAGGGTTCAATCAACACACATGTTGGTGTATGTTGACTTGAACCATCAAAGACTTCAAAGCCTGAACTAATAAGCAAGGAAGAACTTCAAATTTTGTCAAATCAAAGCATTCTTTATCTTCATCATCATCTTCTTTTTCTGCTTCCACGAAAGTTTCTTTTCCTAGGACAAACACAGGGGTTCAGCCCCTATGTTATATTCATTTGTTTCTTTCTACTTTGTCTTCTCATGAATATGTGATTTTCCATGTTTTAATATGAAGATTATAGACAATTATTAATGAAAGACGGTTACTAGTTGCTATGAAACCTAGGGAATACCCTAGGGTTCACTGTCTTTATTCAAAAAAAGTCCATCACCTAGGCGACAATGCTCTCCCCTGTAACTTAGCCTCACCTTGGTGCCTTGAAAACTATGATGCTGTTCTTGATGTTTTAGTAAGTTCCATTCCACTTGTTCAAAGGAAAACAGAACAAAACAGATAAGACTAATTATGAGGGTAGTCCAATACCCTTCATTTGAGAAATATCTGAGATAAAAACAGAAATACTAGTGTTTAATTAGTTCATTTCTTACAAAGAAATTATTTAAAAAATGACAATAGTCAAGTTTGTTACTTTGTTCAGAAAGAGCTCATTATGTGAACCACTGAATGTTTCAAAAGGTCCAGCGATTAACTGGACAGTTTGTTGCTGACTTCCCAATAGCTTTTTTTAATACAAAGCAGTCAGTTTGGTTTTCAGACAAGCAGATGAAGTAGTTGCCCAAAGGATATGACAGGCTGGTAAGATTTTGTTTTCAAAATATTGATTATACTATAAAATGCAACTAGAACAAACAAACATTAAACTCATAAACAAGATACAGGCAAAAATTGTATACTAGGTAGCATTTTTTCATGCAATAATTAATGCCTCTACCAGCTCAGAGAAGAACCTGGATCTAAAGGCTGCACACTAGATACCCTCAAAGGAATGTCTTCCAAATTACGCAGGCGCTTTGCTAGGACTTCAAATGCCGTAAGCAAATCTCCAGAAAATGAAATAGGATCTGAAGATAATCCAAATATATCATACTCATCAACTGAACACATTTTCTAGAGAGGAAAAGGAAAAAACGAAGTTGCTAGGAACAATTAGCAATTAGTTACTCTTAAAGTTCTGTATGCTAAACAACTGTAGCATTCAAGTTTGATATAAATACTGAACAAAAATTTCATAGGCCAGCATCATTAAGTAAAATTTCTTGGGTCCAATACTTCAATTACCAGTCCCATTTTTGAGTTATTGATCTCATTAGCTAATACGCTTAACTAGCGACAACACTAAACAACATAACCTACCAAGATTAGGGCTGTAATCAGGTCAGATTCACATTGGGTCCTGACACATCAGTGTCCAATTCACTTAATAAAAATTCAAAGACAATTCCATTCAGATTTAATCCAAATTCATTTCAACATCTTCAAATAAAGGGAAAACTAAAAAATTATGAACAATTTAATCACTTTCTGACTCATATATATTTATATTATTTATGTATATGTGTATATGCATGATTATATTTTATATAGATACATATATCTATATAGGGCTAGATCCACATCCTATCTGATTATTAAATAACTGCAGTTTTAAAAATCAAAATCCAATCCATTTATGTTAACGGATCATCTGAATCCGAAATAATCAAATTGCATGCCAGATTGGGTCTCGGACTTTTGGATTCCATTAACAGCCCTAACCAACACAGAAGTAGAAAATGGGAGAGACTAAATCTACCTCCAACACCATGAAGAAGACAGAAATCAAGTTGATCTGCAACATGCACCATATTATCTTTTGATAAGGAAAGATGCCGTGAAAGGACATACTCAGTGATCCTTTTAATGATTAGATGTCTTTCCCATTGCTTGCATTCCCATACTGTCAAATTCAGAACACAAATGGTACTGTATTATCACCTTGACATAGGAAAACTAACCATTAACTTATGACATAAGTACCATAAATTGTATCACCTGTGCTTTCTGCAATAGTCCCATCTTTAAATCTCCGGAGCTCTGCCTTCTCCCCCCAAAACCTTCTAAACCAAAGAACCTAATGCAGGATATCATAGCATCAGCAGATGTACCTAATAACATACTAGAAAAATGCAAATGTCAAATACCTCCTCTTTGTTCTCAGCATTTGGACCAATATCAACAACTCTAAAACTCTTATCAAAAGAGCTGGCTAGTATCCCAACAAGCAATGGCTCACTATCGAACTTTGACAGACCCTAGAATCAAAGGGACACTAGAATGAACTCATGATCTAAAACATAGTAATTCTATAAAACAATAAGAGAAGCCCACATGGTTGAATCTTGTTACCTCTTCTATAGTCAACTCAGAGGGACAATTTCTCCAAGTAACACGAATAAATTTTGCTCTATCACCTAATCCTTGTTCAAGAAGAAGATGCACCTTGTCCTCATATATTCTCCAGCATTCATCATCCAAACAAAAGCCAGATGAACAAACCTTACTATTGCCTTTCAAATTAATCCTGCAGAGAACAAATTGATGATTAACAGCTGAATGCAAAAATATAGAACAGCAAAAAGAAGATTAAAAAAAAATGCAGAAGCACTTTGAGATTTTTCTCAAAAGCACATGACCCAAAAAAAGTCACCGAATGGCTTAGTTAAAAGAAGGTAGCATATGATCAATGTTGTAAATGTGTGAACAGTTCAGTTTCATGCAGATATGAAACTGACTTCATTTCTAAACCCAAACATACAAATAAATAAATAAATGTAGGTAAAATTGCTTAAGGTGGAATCAGTTGTATAGATGGAATGACAAACAAGTTCTTTTTGTTCCACAACTGTGTAAAATTCATCAATTTTTCAGTTTTCAATGGAAATAAAGTACAATTTATCAATTTGTTATATAAGCTCATGTGGTACAACCATAAGTCCAAGGAAATTTGTATTTCTTGTAAAACTGCCAAGAATCACTGCAACACATTTGGCATCCATAGATCAGAACTTCATCTACAAGGAGAGTTTATGCCTAAATCAGGATTTGGTGATCAGGCATAAGCCTACAAAAGTAAAATTATCATTTTACGATATAATTTTTTATCAACAATGATTCCGGTAATAATTATCAAAAAAAACAATGATTCCGGTAATGAAATATGGTGAAAGCTTCATGCACCGATCATGAAGATGACTACCAGAATATCAATATACAGACAGCCAAAGGCCGTCTCCCCACTCTCTTACGTAGCAAAAAAGTCACACTTCAGTCCAGGGCTGAGTAGCCCTACACTAAATCATCTCTTATTGTAGTATCTCAAGCCAAGGAACCTCCCTAACTATTAGCAGCCCTAGGGATCCACTTGATTGAGTAGTTCATGACTTCATGTTGGTTGTTATTTGTTAGTTGCTTAGCCTCTTTGATAAGATGTCCTAATGCCAATGAACCTGAAACATTTGAAGAGAACCATGATAACATAACATGAAAGTCAGCTTCCACATCCAAATTTTATACATTGGTTGAGGATTACCCATTGCAATTAGGAATGAGATTCTAAGAATAATACTTCTAGTTTCATCTCTAATGAATCCACCTATCTTCAACCATCCTGGATTCACAAGACTAATGCTATCAAAGTCCAGCTTTCCTTGAACCAGTGCTGTCCAAGGTTGGATTATATGGCCCCTGCTGTGAGCAAAACCAGCAAAAGTGGTCCAACCGTTCAATAGTTAGTGAGTCCATGGGTACTACTCTTTTAAAAAGTTTCTTTGGTTAAAGCCCCATGTGCCACCCAAGTCTGTACCATGTATATGACATCCTCAGCCTATTGACTCTTACCTTCAAAAATTCTTACATTACATTTACTCCAAATACCCAATAAAACTGCAGCTATTGAACTGCAAATCCATTCTAAGGTTAAAAAGGATATGAATTGTAAAATGGGACCCCAAGCATCTTTTGTTTGAGAAGAAAACTTGATGAGGAAGAATAGGTACAAATCCACCAAAACACAGTTTTTCTATTTGTCGCCATGTTTAAATATATTTGCAGGTTTCCTTGGGGAAATGGTAAATATCCTGGTCTGAATAGCATGAGAACACAATGAGAGCAGCCATTTTTGTGCGAAAAAAAAAAAACAAAGGTTACATTTGTATCCAGACCACCCTTCCCAAGACCATGGATAACCAGGATCAACATTGGGTAATGGCCCTGGGTTTGCAAGGGAACTAGTAATAAACAAACAAATACTATTGCAAAAACACCAACATGTCACACATTGGCACATCATCCAAAGTGAAAATCATATATATAAGCCAAAATTCTTTCTTCATCTAAGCATCAAGAATCTCATGCAACAGAAGACGTGTTCATCACTTGAGCATTAAAATCACCTAAGCAATGTGGATATGCCACCTTTAAGCCATGAGAATCCAATAATAATAAGGCATCAGTTGTTACATACACCAGTGTATAAGAAATCCCCCAAATTTTGTTGTCCTCCTGATGCATCAAGTCTGCAACATTAGTTGATGTTCTTAAATGCTAATCACATATGATGAGGGGTAAGTTGGCTCGGCCTAGCAACCGAGGTACACATGGACGCGATCAGCCACTAGGATGACAACTCAGCAAGGGAGCCTCGCCAACAGCTCGGGAGCTCGGGAGCTCGGGACCTTGAGCACCTCACCATAAAGGCACCTCGGTACCTAATCCAGTTCGAAGCCAAAGAACCGACGTGCAAGTTCGGGGCCAAAGAACCAAAGCGCCATGTAATCGACTCCAGAAGCTTCTCCAACGGACTCCAAGTTCCCCGGGATCACGGCGTTTATTAACAAGGCTCATCCTCACTCCGCCCGAATCGGAGGGAATTGATAAACCTTATCAACTGGTGCATTGCTCTCCTTCGAAAATAGAACGGATTTTATCTACGCAGCCCGAAGATCCCGGAGCCTTTTCATAAGATTCACAACTACTCAACTATATAAGAGCATCAATCCTCAAAGCGAAGGTACGCGCTATTATTTGCTCACTAGCAATCTAGCATTCAAGTATTCAGCTCGCATCCATAATATAGTACTGACTTAAGCATCGGAGCAACATCGCCGGGTTAGCCACCCCGGGTTCTCTGATCTAATATCTTGCAGCTTGGTCCAACTCGCCACGCAACTAGTGTTTAGATCATCTTCCAGCTAGGAGTATCCAGATCGCACACCATCAACATATGTCCCTCTAAGAGGTTAATCTTACATCCCCTACCTACATATCTGGACATTCAACTATGGACCACTAGGGGTGTAAATGGTATTCAAAAATTCAAATTCGAATTCGAGATTCGACATAATCAAATTGAATTCGGATTATTCGACTGTTATTGGCGGTTGAATTCGAATGAAGTGTTTTTACCGATTAATTAATCAAATCGAATTCGAATAGGAGTCAATCTGATTCGATAAATATTCGATTCGATAATATATATTATACGTATATATCGATATTAGTGATACAATTATATTCATATTAAGTAAATATTTTAATATATTATTTTGTTGGAACACAATGAATGATGACTTTTGAAATTTTCTTTTATAATATTATTTTAATAATAAAGAATTGAATGAAGAAAGAGACGCTATGATTATTTTCGGTCAAATAAAGTAATATTTTAATAACAAAAATTTGAATGGTTACAGATGCCATGATGATTTTTGGAACAAACAAAATAATATTTTAATATTTTTTATCAAAAGGCCTATATTTCATTTATTATTCATCTTTCTTCTTCCTCAATTCTTATCTGCAACATTTCTTCTTCGCAAGTTCTCCTATTTTGGTCTGCAACTTGTAAGTTTTAACGTTAATCTCGCTTTCTTCATTCCTTTTTTTATTTTTTACATACAAGTGTTTTGTATTCTTTGTTCCTTAGTCGCTTTCTCTCTCTTCCTCTCTCCTCTCTCCCTATCTCTTGCTCTCTTTCTCTCTCGATGTTGCAGAGCACATGAACATGGTGAACAATCTCTCCGTTGTAGACCACACTAATGGCGACGCTTGTTGCAGCAACATCAAATAGATGGATATGATTTAAAAAAATAATAATTTGTTTGTTTTCTTTGTTTTTTGAATATTAGATGGCAGGGAATGAAAAGGAAAAAAAAAACAACTTCAAACCAGGCTTCTTCTTCTTCCCCTGGTGAGGTTGGTGTTAAAAATGTATTTCGAATTCGAATCGAATTCAAATATTCGATTATTTAGGCAAATTAGAATTTGATATATTGCTTTAAGAATCCGCCGGATATCGAACTGAATTTGAATATTCAACTATTTAATCAGTTTCGAATTCAAACCAAGCATGATTCTATTCGAATTCGCTCCGTTTACAGCCCTATGGACCACCCTTGGGTGTAAGACGAACTAAATTTTCAAATTCATGGCCATGAATTTAGATATTACTGGCACAATTAAATTGGAACCATAACAAACCCAACATCACAAATGACAAAATGATAGTAATATCCAATTACCAATATCTGAACCAACTTCCAATTTTGGCATCATGTGGTTACTCAACCTAAAACATCCACCTTAGTCGATATTGCCAATATCAACAGGAACACCCAAGCAATCATTCCAAAACATCACCCCAGGAAGCAATAGCATTAAGAAATGATAGAGGAACCATGGTTTAAACACAGTTTTTCATTGAATTCAGTCAAAGCCACATGAAAAAACAAATTATGATAGCCCCACTCTAGTTGACTCCACTTTATAACATATAAATTATATATAAAAATGTTAGTAAATAACAAATTTATGCACATTCATGAATCACACCATGTCTGTAAAAAGAACACAACAGTTGCATAAACTCATTGTATACTAGTGTTCCTCATTATTTAGATATAACTGAACCTAATACAGCTATTAACTTGAGTGTCATACCTTATGCAGTGATCGTATTTAGCGGGGAAGTCAACCTTGGTCATGAAAACCTCTTCAAAACCACCATCTCTGCATTTGTCTATGCAAGTGAGTGTCAAAGCAGCCTCATCTCGAAGCTGAAAATTTAAATTTTGTTAATTTAGTTTGATATTCTGGAGAGAGAGAGAGAGAGAGAGATTAAAATACTTATAACTACCTCCACAAAGCCATTCCTTGACATTCGGAATGCTAGATTGAAATGAGCAGATGAATCACATAAAACTACTGGAAATGATTGTAGATATTGACTCCTTGCCTGCAATTTCCCATCCCTCTAAGAATTTTGATAAAAAAAAAAGGAGAAAAGATGTTGATTTCTGCTTGAATCTAATTTCCTAAAGATATTCAAGTACAGTAATGAGCAAAGCAATTGCAAGTAATCAATTTGGGGAAAGTGGAGAATCTAATAGGACAAGAGGAGGGGGAAGCGAGAAAGAGAGAGAGAGAGGCATATGGTCAAATAAGACCAGAAACAGACCTCCTTTTTAATACTACATTGCCCTTGATGCTGAAGAAAAAGGCCTTTGTTCCATAACTTTGGTGTGGCTGTAAAAAAATTAACACAGTTGAGTATTTTAGATCATGCACTTATTGTATCAATAAGCTACATTAAATACATCATTAGGATAAGCTTAAAAGGTGAAAACAATTACAAGTAAAAGACTCTTAGAAAGAACAAAGGAAAGGGGAGGATGTCTGAAAATGCCAATTAAAAGGAAAGATGAAAGATACTTGCCTTCTGGATGGAAACAAGTACAAGAAGTCACAAAAGAATAGTTCAAGCTAAAGATGCATCCCACTCCTGAACCACTTAAGGGCAAAAGGAGTTAAAGGTATGCATCCCATTTCAAAATCAATACTAGAGATGAAAAGCATTTTAAGAGAAAGATAAACAAAATGAAGCTGATATGGGCTATTGATGCTTCTTTTTCCTTTGGAAACTGCAGCAGTGGATTCTTGTAATCTCTTCACCTTTTGGTCACATATAACTTTCCATACGTTTTTCTTGTTGCTCCATGAATTAAGTTTCCCTTTTACTGCTGATCGCTAAGATAGTAAGGCGGTACCAGAATTTGATTACTTTCAATTTTGTAGAGACATAGAAAAGTTACCGAAAACAGTATTGCTAATAGTGACTACCTACACAACCAGTAGACAAGCCAACCATCTAGAAAGATAACTAGAAAATAAAAATACTAGGACTTGAGGATGAGAACATAGATAATTTTGAACTTCTATCAAAGCTTCATGGTAATCAATAGGCTTTATAATAGCTTGGTTGTTTAAAGGACCAGAAGTATCATCTACAAAAACTACTATATGTTTCTTTTTTTAATTTTATAAGTTTTAACTTACATAGTAGGTTGTGGTAGTTATTAGTCAAGTGAATTGATACATTTTTCAGTATTGATCAAAAAAAATGATACATTTTTCAGCCAAAAGGGTTTGAGGCAAGGAAACCTACTCTCCTCTTTTTTGTTTACTTTGGTGGCTGATGTTTTGAGCAGGATGATTTTGAAAGCTGATCTTAATAGAGAGATTACAGGTTGAAGAGTGGTGAGGCAGGAGGTTGCTGTTACACACCTTCAATTTGCAGATGACTTAATCCTTGTGGAGGAAATGATGACTACCTTAGGAATTTGAAGGAGCTGATATCTCTTTTCAAAAAGGTGTCCAATTTGAGAGTGAACCTAAGGAAAAGTGAGGCAGCAGAAATCAATTTGCAAATTGAGGAGCTGGAACATTAAGTAAACTTGTTGGACTGTGAGATCAAATCTTGGCCAATGATGTACCTTAGGCCTCCACTAAGTGGCAATCTGAGGACAAAAGGGTTTTAGAAACCAGTGCTGGGAAGGTTTACAAAGAAGTCGACCGCGTGGAAAAGAAATTACATCTCGTTGGTTGGAAGGATAACTTTAATTGAATCCATGAGGGGCTAAAAAAGGTGGCTAAAAAAGTTAGAAAAACATATGAGGGGCTTTCTTTGAGAAGCATGAGGAAAGAAAAGACCATCTAGTCAAGTGGGAAATGGTGTGTAGGGCTAAAGAAGAAGGTGGGTTGGGGATAGGAAATGTGATTCATAGGAACACTGCTTTAATTGGAAAATGGTTTTAGCATCTACCATTACAGAGGGACAGCGATGCAGAACCACCACCTGTTACAAGAAATTAGAAGAAGAAGAAGAAGAAAGAAGACAAAAAGAGAAGGAAGAGAGGAAGTTTGAAAGAGGATATGAAAGGCTTCTATTTCTCAAGTAAAGCGTGAGGAAAGAAAAGACCATCTAGTCAAGTGGGAAATGGTGTGTAGGGCTAAAGAAGAAGGTGGGTTGGGGATAGGAAATGTGATTCATAGGAACACTGCTTTACTTGGAAAATGGTTTTAGCATCTACCATTACAGAGGGACGGTGATGCATAACCACCACCTGTTACAAGAAATTAGAAGAAAGAAGGCAAGAAGAGAAGGAAGAGAGGAAGTTTGAAAGACGATATGAAAGAAGTCTATTTCTCAAAAACATAATGTCATACAGCCCTAACATAATGTGTATTTATAAGAAACCTAGAACTAAAAATTACAATTAAGTCCCTACCATATATGAAAGTTTCACCTAACCCCCCCCCCAATGAAAATTACAAATAGCCCCCTTACTAAGAAGAAATTTTACAATTAAACCCAAATTGTGCATTAATCAAAGTAACCCCAAGCTAATGCCGCCTACGCCTAAAATAAGTATGAATTCTATGTGGTGCTTCGTTCTCAAAGTGATCTCCATCAAACAGGCTCTGGCATAAGGTTATTATGAGTATTCATGGTGCTTTGGACAATGGCTACGATGCTAAGGTTGGCTTCTTCTTCTTCTGCAAGCTCCCCTTGGAAATCTATCTGCGGACTACTTACTTCCTTTCTAAGATTTATCAGGTATGATGTGAATAGTGGGCTCAATGTTCTGTTTTGGGAAGACCTCCGGGTTGACAATTGCACTCTTCAAGAACAATTTCCCTTGTTATATTCATTCTCAACTTATAAGATGGAACCCATTTCTAAATTTCAGTTAGTTCCTCGTCTGGCTTGGATTGGAATTTTGGGTTTAGAAGAGGGCTTAAAGAGAATGGATGCAATTCCCTAGTTCTCCTCTTGGCCCAACTTGACTCTGTTTTCTTGGACACCGAGCTAGTGACTTTTCCTAATGGCTTGCTTTCATGTGCCTCTTTTTTCAGCTCTTTGGTGTACTCTAACCGTATAGGGGTGCACCAGTGAACGAAATTTGAAATAGACCTATCCCTCCTAGGATTCAAGCCTTCTGTTGGGAAGTGGTTCTGGGAAAGATCAATACCTGTGATATGCTGCAGAAAAAGAAGCCTTTTATGCGTCTTTCCCCTCATATATGCTGTCTTTGCAAGGCAAGCAGCAAGACTACTCCCCACTTACTAATCTCCAGTACCTTCATGAATTGTGCTTGGTTGAAGTTGTGCTCTCTCTTTGGGTGAAGGTGGGAGGCTCCTCAAGACGTGACAGGTTTATTTGCCCCAAACTTCCTAAGACAGGCTAAAAAGGGGGGCAGAATATTGTGGAGGGCAGCAGTTATATAGGCAATATGGGAAGAAAGGAAAGGTAGAATTTTCAAGGGAAAAAGCAAGACTATGATTATACGAGAAATAATGGACTGTAAAAATAAAGGTTACTAATTGGGTAAAAACAATGGAAGGTTTCAAAGAATTTCATGTGAATGAAATAATGATAGCTTGGGGAGAAGTGGCTACCTCTTTTTTTTTTAAGGATAAAAAGGAAATTTCATTAAACTGAAAAAAAAAGGCAGTACATCCCAGAAAGATGGTTGTCTAGTCGATAAACCAACTACAAATCAGAAATTACACTGTAAAAGAACCAAATTACAAGGATTCAACTCCAGAGTGCTCCAAAAATTCTCTAATAGATCAGATTTATTCACTTGGTCAAACTCTGGAAGACTGAGAGCCCAAGCTACAATCAAATTGCCCACTCCTGCTTTCAAATATTCAACATTCTTTGAGGACAAGGGAAATAATACTGTCATGCGTCACCAGCCAAGAAAAAGATTCTACCCTTGGGGGTACTGGGTTACCCCACACTCCTTTTATCTGGTGTGAATCCTTACCATCTCTCAAGTAAAGCCTTGTAAAAGGATTTGACTGAGAATCCTCCTTCTCTGCATTCTTTCCACCATAATCCATCCGCTGTAGCTCTGGAAATGTTTATCTCTTCTAACTTTTCCAATAACAGAATACACTCTTCCACTTCTTGATCCAATAAAGGTCTCCTGAACTTCGGGTTCAAAATCACTACCTCTTCTAAGATCATAGATAAGGTTTTGATGGAATGGAAACAACCAACAACTCAAGGTTTGAAACTAAACTTTCATTGCAGTTCATTGGGTAACCCAGGTCCAGCAGGAATTGGAGGTTTTTAGAGATGCATCAGGAGTAATCAAATCCTTATATTCAGGACTAATTGGATCTGGTGGTTCTATCAAAGCACAAACAATGGTGCTACTACAATGTTTGAGGATAGCTAAGAAGCTGGGAATCCAACATTTGGAGCTGGAGGGGGACTCCAAGGTGGTATCCTCTGGTTAACCAGCAATTTTCCAGGAGTTTGGGTTTATAGGCATGCTGTAAGGGAGATCCAATATTTAGCCAAGGAAGCGGGAGCTACTTTTAGTTGGTTTAAACGTTTAGGAGAAGTGGAGAACAGCAAATCAGATGGTGGGATGTTGGGCAAAATAAGGGTTTCACAGGGAGCAATTATTTTGGGCAAAGTAAAGAAAAGAAAAGAGAACATTGACAATTGATCCTTTTCTTTACTCTTTTTTTTTTTTGTGTGTGTGTGTGTGGTGGGAGGGGGGGTGGATTACTGTGACAAAATAATGTCTGTTTCCATAGCTCCCCTTCTAAGTCAATGCATGGGAGGTCAAGGGAACAATAAGTTCCAACATCTTAATGTTTTGACCACACTTTCTGGGTAATTCATTGTGTGTAGTATAATGCTAGGAGTAGATGAGAAAAATGTTCAGCTTCAAGGAAATGATGGGACAAAGAAAACGTACAAAATCTTTAGTTTCATTTCTACAAAAAAAAAAAAAAACTCACATATATTCAAGTCGATAAGCAAGACATGTCTTAAATGAGAAGTGTGAAAAATGCACAACCTAGACCAACTTCAGTCCAGACCATCAAGGCTAGATTTATTAGCAAAGGAACCTTAGTCTCAGTTAGGTTATTGGCACCAGAAAGAGTTTGTGCCTAATTGAACAATTTAGTAGGTAGAAGAAAATAAATCTTAATACTCTAGTTCTTCAGCATCTAATGAGAGAGGTTTGTTCAGTGGAGCCCTATCACCTGCTTTTAGCCATAAATTGAGTGTGGACAACATATGTAAACTAAGAGTATGTTTGAAATAGGGGTTGACCTAAGCACTTCAATGACTATAGATAGATTAATTGCCACATACAAGCGGAAGTGCAGTTTATAGTGTTTCCAACCCACCGTTGACCCAGCCAGTTGAACCATTCAAACCATCACCTGGCCGTGATTCCAGGTCCAGATCTGTTGAAACCCACCATTTGGTCAAAACGTTGGCCTGGTCAAAACTGACAGACCCAAGCAGTTGAACCCGTTGACCAGTGTTTAGAAAACCTGACCAGACCGGTCAGTCAAACCAGTTGAACTGTGACCCGGGGTCCTGACCGATTCGGTCACACCCCAATAACCGGACTTGCTCAAAACCCACTGAAAACCAGCTGACCAGCTGGTTTAACCAGAAAACTGGTGAACCGGTCCCAGTTTCATGAAACCACCCGGGTCCATAAATAAGTGAAATTTTAAAATGTTGTTAACAAGATTTGAACCCAAGACCTCTAATTTTCATAGATTACTTAATTACCACTAATCCACCTCTTTACTTATACAAATTAATGACTATTTATTGTACATATTACATTATTATGCACGTATTTTAAAGAAAATGTAAGTTAAAAGGCTTGAACCCTAGTCATTTTGTTTTAAAAATTAAGTAGCTTACCATCCATCCACCATATTTAAGCACATTAAAAATTGTAAAATACACTATATATAATATTTATATGACTCGTAGTACATATATGTATATGCCACATCACCACGATTCGACCGGTTCAACCCCAGTCAAACCTCTGACAATGAACCTCTCCCTTCTCCGGTTCTATGCCCAGTCCAGTTCTCTAAACATTGCCATTGACCCATTCAACCTAGTCACCGGGACACTGGTTGCACATTCAATGTATGTGCAAGCTTCTAGAGGCCATAACTTTGCACTATGATGTCCAATTGGGATGATTTTTTTTATTTTGAGCAACTTTTGAGATCAATGCATACCAAGGTGCCAAACCCCACTATTTTCTTCAAAAACCCTTTTTAAATTAAAATTATAGATTAAACATAAAATAATATTTATATACATATGATACATCTAAAAAATAATTGTACATTCTTTATCAATAAAATACATGTTTATACACACACACACACACACACATATATATATATACATATGTATGCATATATATAGGTTTATGTATATGTATATGTATATATGTATATATATAGACACACATTTGCTGATGTGACACAATCTGACCCATTTGACCCAAATGGTCGAACCAATGACCCGTGACCCAAAGGCAAAAACGATTCAACCTCCAGGTCGGTTTTTAAAACATTGTTGTTTGCAGATGACACAATGTTAATTGATAAAAGGAAACAAGAGACACTAAAATAAAATGAAGAAGAGCTGCTTTATCAGTCAAAACTAAGAAAGACCCTCCAGAGCATAGCTTTCGCAATAACTTACTAAAATGAGGCATTTTGTTGCAATATAAGTTGAAAAGACCCAAGGTTGAAGGTCCATAGTGGCAAGGGTTTTAGGTAGCCACATAATGGAATTTTCAAGTTCTAACTTCTAAAGACTATCTGAGTGAAAAAAAAAAATACTATAATCAGCACTAGGACCCAGGGAATCTGCACCAATCTTCAAGATGAATTGTTTTGATGAGGAATATATCCTCCTCCTCTGTGCAAATCTTTGACAGATAGAATTGACTATGAAACAAATTCTAGCAAAATCTGGCAATGATTTCCTTGAAAAATGCTTCTTGATTTCACTGCCACTCCGCTGGAGGGAGTGGGGCTACAAACAATCACACTTCATCATCACCATCTCAACAGATAAAAAGCAAACCTTACCCAACAACAGAAATATGATTGCATTTTAGGCCATTGTTGTGATCAAAATTATCAATTTGGAGAGAAATGTGAATTGAATTGCCCATATGAAACAGTATATAATTAAATTTTATCAATCAGGCACATGTTCTGGACTCCTGATTGATTTTCAATTTTTGAATGGGATCCACCATTTGCAATCCATGCAACATAATAAAAAAACCAATAATGAATTAATGATATAGCAACTCTTATAGAATAAGTGGCTAAATTGCAAGGACATCCAGGAGAGTACAATACATACCAATAAAGTCCAGTGTAACACGAAAAATTTGTATTGCCTTCATTGACCTGTTAATACGATTTCCTCCTGATTCTGTCGCAAGGTATGACACTATGGCAGAGATTAAGAATCCATTTAGACAATCATAACAATATATAGAACTTCTGTTCCGAGACCAAACCTGCACCAATTGGACACAATTTTAATTTGTCTACCTCGTGAGGAAATAAATATAGCACTTGAAATAATATATATATATATATATATATATTCAAGATTTCTCAAAAAATACTTTCAGCAAACTTAGAGCTTCTCCTAACTCCTTCCACCCAAGAAAAGCTTTCCTGACAAATTCCGCATTTTCCTCTAAAAGCATATCTTCCAAAATGCTACTACTGTACTTTGGTGTAGCCTGAGGAGCATTCTCTTCTAATGATGTTCCAGAAACAAGGTCAGTGGATTGATATTGGAAAAAGAAAGAAATATTAAACAAGCACTCTGCTCTGATGACTAAGGGTGTCTATACTCACCTTGGTTTACTGTACGGGCATTGTTCCGTGTCAAGTCCAGTTTCGAAACATTAAACAATGATGTTGCCGTCGGGATTATCCTTATGAAAAAACCAGGAAGTTCGGCTAGCTCCTGAACTAATACACAGTAACAGATTCTATCAGCTTCTGAATGTGCAAATGCAGGTGGATTAGGGTAGTATTTTAAATGTAGAAACCAAGTGCCCAATCAGCAAAATTCAATGTATGGTGGGCAACAATTTTGATTAAAAAAAAAAGGAATTGTAAAGCAAAAATAAAATAAAATTTAAAGGGGAAAGTGAATCAACAGACCTGGATATACAACCAAAACAGGTTTACGGGCTTCATTTTGGAAGGTTGACCATTCAATCTTTCGAAATTTCGAAGATGATGTCAGATATTTCTTGATTGTGCATAGGTAAAGACATCTTTTGGCATGATAACGGTGATTCAAGTAGTCTTTCTCATGGAAACAATCCTAACACAACGAAGAGAACACCTCAAAATGACTATACTTCAATGTCGTCGCTAGTGTTGTCGACTGTATTATATATGTAAGAAAAGCGTGAAAATTTTAGAAGGGAACAAAAGGAAATATAAAAGAAAGGCCACCTTGGGCATCCGAAGAAAAAGATCGACATTCACGTCAGGCTTTGTGATCAACTTCATCGAATAACTGCCGCCAATTTCGATAGATTTCGGTTTTTTGAATGTAAAATCAACTTTATCTGCACCAATATCTCTAATAAAACAAGGAGCTGCATCTGCACCAACCTGCACAGTATTCGACGCAGAGACTGGGGATGAATGGGGAAGAGAAAATGTGTTTGAGAATGGAAGCTGAGGACTTGGAAGAATGAAAGAGAGAGGAAAATACAAAGAGAACGAAATAGACCTTAACATTTTCAGGGATACTGTCGATAGTTTCTCTGATGAACGAAACCGCGTCGTCGACAAACCTAGTGATCGAAAGGGAGTAGTCGAGCTGAACCTCCTTCAAGAGCTCTCTCACCTTCAGCTCCATTGATTCCGTAGCCCAATTCTCCATCGTTCTTGATTTTTTCTTCGTTCTATTGGCAATGCTTATCGCGTACTCGGCCGAAGCGATGCTGGGACCGTTTTAGGGCTGAAATGAGAGTGGCGGGAGACCTTGCGAGTTAAAAGGCCAGTACGGCAATAACGATACCCAGGGATTGCATTAGGTTTCCCGTTTCCCTTGCCATACAGGTTGTTTGATATGGGTTTTCCTGTGCCCGAACCAATTGTTAATCCGACCCGATACCCGTCTGGTTATTCAAACTAATGCCCGTCTGCCCGGTGGTCGTAATGGAGTTCGGACGAGGTAGGCACGATGTTGCAAGCACGTTTAATGATCGCTTAAAATTTTTTTTGACATCTATCCCTTAGAATGCCCTCACCCCATCCTTGAAAAAGATTAATACTCACTTTTGATAGTTATCAAAATATTAACTTCTTATTTAATGTGCTTATTTTGACGTGTCTACAAAATTCTCCACCAAAGCCCAATGTTCGGTAAGGACGCTTGCTTTCAAATTTGATAATGCCAACATTTTTTCATCGAGGTAGCGGGGATGCGAGATGCACGGGAATCTTATATATCTTATATATATATATCTATATTTATATAAATATATTAAGATGAAATGTGTAAGTAGAATGAGAGAAATGAAATCTACTAGTATTTTTTGTTTTTTTTATAGAAATTATGAGAATGTCACTCTCTACTATCCATCTTTTTTGACTTTTTTTCTTTCAAATTATAAGGAAGCCACTCTCTCTCTTGCTTTTTTTTTTTCAAATTACAAGAGTGTCACTCTCTCACTGGCTTTCTTACAAATCACAAGAATGTCATCTCTCCTGCTATCTATTTCTCTCTCCTTATAAATTACAATAATGTCACTCTCTCTCCAACTAAGGGAGACCTTAGCTCGGCATCTCGACTGCTAGGGGACCTGCAACCAAAGGTAGTCGAGTTCGAGCTAGGCCGAGCTCGGACTTTTGAGCTCAAACTCAAGTCTCTAATTCAAATCGAGCTCGAGCTAGACAACACTTCGACCACTGAGAGAGACTTTGACTCGGCACCTCGGTCACTAAGGGAGATCTCAGCTCAACACCTCGACAACTGAGGGAGACCTCAGCTCGGCACCTTGTCAACTAAGGGAGACCTTAGCTCGACACCTCACTTGCTAGAGAAACCTCAACTCGACACTTCAACAGCTGAGGAATACCTCGATTTGGAACCTTGGCAATTGAGGGAGACCTCGATTCGGCACATCGACTGCTTGAGAGACTTGCAATCAAAGGTAGTTGAGCTTGAGCTCGAGCTTGATAGTTTATGAGCGAGCCCATGCAACACAGGGCCCCCTTCGCTAGTAAATATATTAAGCTGAAATGTTTACGTAAGAAGGCCTAAGGAAGGGGGAAATGGAATCTAACAGTATTTTTTGTTTTTTTCTTAGAAATTACAAGAATGCCACTCTATACCAACTCTCTTTATTTTGCTTTTTTTCTTTCAAATTACAAGAATGCCATTCTCTCCTACCAACTCTCTCTCTATTTTGCTTTTTTTCTTTCAAATTACAAGGATGTCATTCTCTCCTACCAGCTATCTCTCTTGCTTTTTTCTTTCAAATTACAAGAATGCCACTCTCTCTCTCTTACAAATTACAAGAATGACATTTCTCTCCTTATAAATTACAAGAATGTCACTCTCTCTCTAACCGAGGGAGACCTCAGCTCGGCATCTCGGTTGCTAGGGAACCTACAATCAAAGGTAGTCGAGTTCAAGCCAAGCAGAGCTCGAACTTCTAAGCTCAAGCTCAAGTCTCTAATTCGAATCGAGCTCGAGCTAGATGACACCTCGACTAGTAAGGGAGACCACGGCTCGGCACCTCGGTCACTGAGGGAAATCTCAGCTCAGCACCTTGACAATTGAGGGAGACCTCAGCTCGAAACCTTGTCATCTAAGGGAGACCTTAGCTCAACACCTCGCTTGCTAGGGAAACCTCAACTCGACACTTTAGTAGTTGAGGGAGACCTCGGTTTCGCACCTCGGCAATTGAGGGAGACCTCGTCTCGGCACATTGGATGCTTGAGAAACCTGCAATCAGAGGTAGCCAAGCTTTTGACTCGAGCCGAGTTCAAACTTGAACTCAAGTCTCTAATTCAAATTGAGCTTGAGCCTGATAGTTTATGAGTGAGTCCTGCAACACAGGGCCCCCTTCGCTAGTAAATGTATTAAGCTGAAATGTATACGTAAGAAGGCCTGAGGACGAGGGAAAATTGAATCTAATAGTATTTTTTGCCTTTTTTTTCATATAAATTACAAGAATGTCACTCTACCATCTCTCTCTCTCTTTTGCATTTTTTTTCTTTCAAATTACAAAAATGCCACTCTCTCCCACCAACTTTCTCTCTCTCTTACTTTTATTTTCTTTCAAATTACAAGAATGCCACTCTCTCCTACCAACTATCTCTCTATTCTCTTTCAAATTACAAGAATGCCATTTCTTTCTCTCTCTCCTTATAAATTACAAGAATGCCACTATCTCTCTAACTGAGGGAGACCTCAACTCGGCATCTCGACTGCTAGGGGACTTGCAATAAAAGGTAGCCAAGCTCGAACTTCCAAGCTTTTGACTTGAGTCGAGCTCGATCTCAAGTCTATAATTCGAATCGAGCTCGAGCTTGATAGTTTATGAGTGAGTTCCTGTAACGCAGGGCCCCCTTCGCCAGTATATCTATTAAAGGGATAGAGGTGGTCTCCCCTCTCGCCAAATGGCAGCCCTATATATTCCATTAGTTTTGAGTCAACGGTTCGACCGTCTGGTTTGAATGAATGGCCTATTGGGTCGACGGTTCGATCGTCCGGTTCGAATGAACGGCCCGTTCTAACAACATAAATTACAAGCAAAAAATTACTGAACCATTATGGCCACCGATTTTCAAGTCGATGGTTCGACCATACGGTTCAAAGGAACGGTTCGTTCTAACAACAAAAATTATAGTGAAATTTTTGAGTGTGTGAGGTCCATTAAGCAATATCATATGTGTTATGCCAATCGAGTACATGACTCGTATGACCCAAAAATGGAATAGTTCTGGCCACCATTTTTTGGGTCAATGGTTTGACCGTATGGTTCAAACGATGGCCCATTCTGACAACAAAAATAAAAAAATGGCCAAAAAACATTGAACGGGTTGACAGTTTGACCGCCCAGGTCAATGGGTCGTTGACCAATTAAACGTTTTTTGGCTAGGGACCAATATTGGGATAAAACGAAACTGGTTGCTTGGATGGTTTCCAATTAAAAAAATAAAAAAAAGGGTTAAAAGCCATTGAATAGGTCAGTGGATCGACAGTTCGACTGCCCAGATCAATGGGTCGTTGATCGATTCAATGATTTTTGGCTAGGGACTAGGATTGGGGTAAAATGGAACCGTTGCCTTAATGGTTCCCGGGCCAAAATGTCCATTCGTCTAGGTCAATGGCGGTTCAAAAACCATGGTTTTTATGCTTTTGGTTTTTCACTATTCAAAGGTTTATTCTACTATTAGCTTTATGTGTGTTTACCACCATTTTATTTCTTCCCTTTTGTTTTTTCTTTGGGCTTTCTTGTACAATGTTTTTTTTTTTTTCTTACAAGATGATCTACTTTGTCTATTTCTTTGATTGCATGTATGTTTAGCTCCATCTCAAAGTGGAACTTTGGACTCGATTTTCTGATTTTTTCCTTGATTTTTCCAATTTGGTGGATTTATGACATTTTTTTTATGTATTTAAGGTCACTTTGGATTTATCTTTTAAGGTTTTGGAATTCTTTGCAATGTCCACCTTTCAACATGACTACAAAGTTATTTCATCTAATTATTGACATCTAAAAAAAATGACCCAGAAACGAAACCGTTTGGACATCAATTTTTAGGTCGGTGGTTTGACCACCCAGTTCGAACGGATGGCCCATTCTAACAACAAAAATTAAAAAATAAAAAATGGACAAAAACTACATAATGGGTCGATGGCCCGAGTCAATGGGTCATTGACTGATTTAACGATTTTTTGCTAGGGACTAGATTTTGGGTATAACGGAACCGGTTGCCTGGACGGTTCTCGGGCCGAACGATCATACTATCCAGGTCAACTAGGGGTTCTTGATGTGAAACAAAGGATAACTATGAAGTAGAACTTAGAACTATCATTGTATGATCGTATTCTTTTATATGAAATGCTTTGTTGAAGCAATATTTAAAAAACGAACACATGATGATCTCTTTTAAGTCTTTATACGAGTTTCAAGACTTGAGTAGTTATAACTGCAAGTTTCTTATTAAGAAACCATTGTCTTCTTTAATGTTGCAATTCCATTCCAATCCTTGCGAAGCAGGGGCCCCTCCACTAGTTTAAAGGATTAAATAGTTTTATTTACAATTAATTAATTGATAAATTAATAATTAAATTTTGTTGTTAATCAACAAAAAGTATTTAAAATTTTTGTTAATATTTAAAATTTAATAATTCTATTTTTTATTTAATGTTGATTTACAATAAATAGTTATTGTTAATTTAACATGAACAAATATTTTTAATAATTTTAATTTTATTAATCATTTGTAGCAATTTTAATAACTGTTATTATTTTCATTATTTTTAAATGAAAATTTGATAGACTTTAAATAAATAAAAATAGTTACAAAAACTAACATTTTTATTAATTAACAAATATATAGAAATGACAATAGGGCGGGTTTGGGGGCGAGGCACCTCATCCCTGTCCCCACCCCGTAGTCAAGACACTTTACCCCATCCCTAGTGTTAAGTGGGTTTAGGGCAAGGCACCCACTCCTCATTAAGGATGTTGAATCCTCAAATTTCCTCGCCCCGTCCCCAATGTTGGGTGGGTTCAAGGTAATACACCCACTCTCCGTCAACCCAATATTCAATTTGATGACAAAAATGATCAAAACGATACACTGAGTATCAGCCACATGGTAAAATTCTAAAAGTACACTAAATTGTCTTTAATTTTCAAAAATGTGATTTTATGAAAATTTTTAGAAAATTTATTACATTTATGTAATTTTGAAATTTTATTCAAATAGGTTTTTAAATTGTTATTAAACAGTTTATTTTCTTCTTAA